GTCATCACCGGGAGCCTGGGACATTCCCAGCCTGGGTAATTCCCAGCTTCACTTCATTCCCAGCCTGGGACATTCCCAGCCTGGGGCATTCCCAGTGCGGGGTCATCACTGGGAGCCTGGGGTCATTCCCAGCTTCACTCCATTCCCAGCCTGGGGTATTCCCTGTCTGGGGTCATCAGCAGGAGCCTGGGGTCATTCTCATCCTGGGGTCATTCCCATCCTGCAGTCATTTCCAGCCTGGGGTCATTTCCAGCTTCATGCCATTCCCAGCCTGGGGTATTCCCAGCTTGGGGCCATCACTGGGAGCCTGGGGCATCACCAGAAGCCTGGGATCATTCTCATCCTGGGGTCATTCCCATCCTGCGGTCATTCCCAGCCTGGGGTCATCACCAGGAGCCTGGGGTCATTCCCAGCCCAGGATCATCACTGGGAGCCTGGGCCATTTCCAGCCTGGGGCATTCCCAACCTGGGGTCATCACTGGGAGCCTGGGGTCATTCCCAGCTTCATGCCATTCCCTGCCTGGGTCATCACTGGAAGCTTGGGATCATTCCCAGCCTGGGGTCATTCCCAGCCTGAGATCCGCACCAGGAGCCTGGGGGTATTTTCAGCCTGGGGTCATTCCCAGCTTGGGGTCATTCCCAGCCTGGGGCCATTCCCAGTTTGGGTCATTCCCAGCCTGAGGCATTCCCAGTCTGGGGCATTCCCAGCTCCACACCATTCCCAGAGCTCTTGGCTCTTGTGTAAATCCTCACGTGTTGTCCTGTGCCGGATCGCTCCGTGTCTCACAAATGGGATGGGACCCTGAGTGATTGCAGACTCAGGATTTATTATCTGTCTGTATCATACAAGCAAAAAGCAAGATACACAGGGAAAATAACAACATCCAGGCAAATCCAGATCAGAGACAAGATGGCAGCTTGAGCAAAACCTTTTCTACATATTCTTTGAACCAATAGCATAAAACAAAAGGTGCAAAGCCATTATACTCTAACCAATAACAGAAGGACCCACATAGGTTTAACATTAACAAAAGGTCTTCTATGAACCTCAAACAATACACAATAATTCATTATTTAAGATTGAAACTTTTCTATCTTTGCAAAGCATATATCTAGGACTTTTCACATCTTGAACTATCAGTAAGTTCTTGCTCTTTCTTGTTCCTTATGATAAATACATATGCATTCACTTGGTTCTTAACTTCCTAGCTTCCCATGAGAAGGTTTAGAAATTTCCCAGCCTTTCTTAGCTTTATGTCTACTTTCTGAGGCCTTTTTTGCACTTTCTAGTATTTTACCTTTTTATATTCCCACAGTGCTGCCGTTGTCGCTGTTTGGAATGAAGGGGTGGGATCACTGTTGTGCTGAGGATTATTTGTTGCTCAGATAAATGCCAGTCTCAGGGGCTGTGAGGTTTTGGAGGAGCAGCCATTCGGCCATAGCTCAGAATTGTCACAAGTTCTTTGTCACAAGGCAATATAGAATTTTCTAACCCAATGGACAGTTGCCACAGGGTTTATTTTGCTTTGCTTTTCTGACCTATCACCTTTACTTCATTCTGCTGCACTGTGGATGCTTTTATCCAGTGGGTTTCTAACTCATGTACACACATGCTTCTGCCATAACTTGTAAGCTCTCAGCCTATTCCACACAACCCCACCCTTACTTTATAAACCCTTCACCATCTTATCAGTGTAGTTTCTCACTTACTTAAGGCATATTCTCACCTACAACTATAGAAGCATAAGTTTATGATTTTTCTGCTTAATCTCTGTATGTTGTATTTTTGCATCAACCCAAACTTCTCTCAAGGCTGCAGATAAATCCTTCAGTGTCTGTGGAAATTTCTGTTTTTCCAATTCCCACAGTCAAACTGTTCTAAGATAAACTCTGTTGCATCCTAACTCTTCCTCTGATACCACTCTGCTTCCCTTTATAAGCAGAGTGTCAGAGAAATAATCTTGAATTGCAAAAGAAAGAAAGAAAACCCTTTGAAAATCACCTTCAAAATTTGACCTTCTCAATTGTCTCCCACAGGTGTGATGGGGGAATACGAGCCCAAAATAGAAGTTCAGTTCCCTGAGACACTGGCAGCAGCCAAAGGCTCCACTGTGAAGCTGGAGTGCTTTGCACTAGGAAAGTAAGTGTTCCTCTTCCCTGAAAACTGAAGCACCTTTGAGCTCACCTGCACAAGAGCTGTGGGGTTCTGGTGTTTCCCCAACACCTGATTTTGGTCATCACAGCTCCTGGCTTGAAATGTGAGGGCAAAGACTCTTGGAGTGTATTTTGATTTTGTTTAGAATTAAGATGTCTATGTTGGCAGCACAGGAATTTACATTTCATTTCAAATTAACTCCAGTATGGTTTTGTGTATGACCTTTGAGCTAAGTCTCTTTTCTGTGTGCAAGGAAATGGTGCTGAAGTCTGTGAGAATGTTTGTCTGAATTTTCCCCTTAAATGTACTTCATGTTTTCATAATGTTGTTCTTTCTTTATAGCCAAAATAAAGATTGAAATGCATTTCTCCTCTGAATGATGCTTCACTCACAGCTGATATCTTTTCTCTTTCCCAGATGATCTGAGAATACATTTGTGTTTCTGTAAATGTATTTATTTACCCGTGTAGGGTTTGTTTGCAGGCAGTTTGTCAGGTACCCATATCAGATTGATAACTTGATCACACACTATTGCTTTGGCTCCCTGGTGAGGGGATGGAAATTTTGCAAATCAGAGAATTAAAGGCTGCTGGAAGATGGGAATTCCAAAAGACTTGCCTGCATTCTTCCTCCATGGAAGAAGCCACTGGTAAATCTCACCCATCCTCTGGGGAGTCCAGTGCTGATTTACAAGAAATGTTGCAATTATTGGGCATTCACAGAGTTATTCCTGACAAATTTGGGCCCACAAATGCAGCGTAGGAATCAGCAGGGAATGCAAATCAGGTGCTTGAGTGTCTGACCATCTGTCATGTACAGTGTGGTTACTGCTTTTAACACAGCCTGGAAGTCACTGCTGAATTTACTTTGCTTTAAGTATCTCATTATGACAATCAAGGACTTTAAGCAAAACTGTTTAAAATCTCATTACTCTCTCTTTAGCCCCGTGCCTCAGATTAACTGGAGAAGAACTGACGGGCTGCCATTTCCAAGTAAAATAAAGCTGAGGAAATCCAATGGCATGATTGAAATCCCTAATTTCCAACAGGAGGACGCAGGGCTCTATGAATGCATCACTGAAAACTCCAGAGGCAAAAACATTGCCAGAGGACGTCTCACTTATTATGGTAGGAAACCTCTGTTCTGCCCCTCTCCCATCTTTCTTTACTCATGAAACACAAACTGCTCTGGGGTACTCTGGAATTTCCACTTTCTGCAGTTCCATCAGGCATTTGGGCTTAAAAATCCACGGCGTTTTAAGGGCTACCAGAAAATGAGAATTTCTGCAGGAGTTTCTTAGTAAGGTCTCTAAGAAATGGCTTAAAAGCTCACAAGGATTGCTGAGAGTAAAGTACAGTGTGCTCGTGCTTGGTTTTGTCCATGATGGAAAGACTTTTTTTTTTTTTAACATTTCTTCTTGGTCCATTGGCAAAACCTTCAATTTTCAGTCAATTGGATTTATTTGGGGGATCATTTAGGCCTCCCATTTATGGGAAGTACAAATTTTTTCTTGCTTTGTGAAAAGATTACCGATGGATATTCTCAATCCTGTGCTTTCAAAACAGCCAATTTTATTTTAAAATGAGTAAATAAATGGGAGGATATAATCCAGTATAGGAAATGAAATAATATGAAATTTTATAGCTGGAAAAAAAGCAGTCTCTTGTGCATTTGAGGCTATAGAGTGAAATGAGTATCAGCAAAGCACACTGGTGGTGGTGTAAAGCGAGAGTGATTTGCAACAAAGTGGTAATTGACAATTTTTGTTAAAGCCAGATCTCAGCAAATATAATTTTCTTTACTTCAATGGCAATTTAAACAGTGATTCTGACTCTGCCTTGGAATGTTTCCCTCATGGAGGAATATTTGAGGAAGGAGATGGGTTTTGAGTTGGATAAAGGCACAGAGCACAACTCCTCTGCAGCTGGGAGCAAGTTCTTCAGTGCCTCTCTGTGGGGAGCTGCTGCCTGCTAGAACACACGGATTTTGGTCCATGAAGATTTTAGTTTGAGGCACAAGACACTTTATAAGGAGGAAGGAAAGGAAAATTTTGCTCCTTGCTAACTTCCAGATTAATCTTTACACTGAATTTTTTATGTTGTTGGAAATGTTCAAGGTCAGATTGGACAGAGGACTTGAAGCAACACAAGTTTTCCATGCACTGATTGCAATTTTGACTTTTTGGGAAATCCTACAGTTGACATAGGGCAATAAATCCAAGCTGCTTCACCTGCCAGTGCCCTCTGCCATGCCAAACCTGGCACTGTGCATTTGGTTTTATTAAATGACCTTATTTTCTGCTTGAAAGTTCCAGAGTTGGGGTTTGTACATCATTTTGGCTCAACATTCCTATGGCAGTGTTAAATCAAGACAGTTGTGAGATACATCATTGGAAATTAGATATAAATTAGAGCAGATAAAAAATAAATGCAGAAATTAGATATAAAATAGAGTGGATTTGTTCATTAGTCCTTGTAATTGTAGGGATCCTGCCTCAAATTCTTCTTTGCTCATTAAAAGGCCACAGAGCTGAAATAAAGGATGTTGCCAATGAACAAAAGCAGCCCAGCTGCAGTTGTGTAACAATGGAATCAGTGTGAATGTTTTCACTGCAAATCCAGGCAGGGATTTGAACCCTCGGATGGAGTTCACATTCCAGTAGGAATGGCTGCCCATGGTGGGAGTCATCCCTGATATGGATGTTTATCTTAGGAAGAATAATGAGAGCTGTAATGGCAGTAATGGCACTCCAACTGTTTCATTTCATTTGTTCTGCTTCATGGAACCCATTCTGCAGAATTAAATAGATTTAAGTAATCTTTCTTATTTTGGTGCTTGCTTTGTTGTTGCAGTTAGAATTCCAACAAGTTTGTTTTCGGGATAGGAGCATTTATAGCTTCTGTTGATAATTTGAAGTTTTATAACTGGAGATAATATCTTCTCATGGATATTCACCTCATCTGGTGCCAAAGCCCAGAAATCCGTCCCACTCAGCCTTCCAATAAAAGATCAATATTTAAGGAAGTTGTTCTAAAAGCAGATGAGGATTTGGGGGTAACTAATGCAATAAACCAAAGACATAAAGAATTACCCATCTGCCAGAAAGTACCAATGCTGTCAAAAATCCACAAATCTGTTTTTAGGGAGTGGTGGCTGCTGTTAGAACACTTTACTGGTGGAAGTTTAAGGCATGTCTGCTTATCAAACATAGAAAAATAGAAACATTATAAAGGTACACATATCTTTTTATTTCAATAGTGACAAGGTTCATTTTCCTCTTGGCAAAACAAAGCACATTTCTGCCTGACCCAAAAGAAAAAAAAACAGTATAAAAAGGACTGGGGTTAATGTTTTGCAAGTTGTCATGGTGAAATAAAAATGAAAAATAAATCTTTAGGCAGAAAAACTATTGATAAAAATCGTTCATGTACCTGAAAATTGGGTTTTTCTTTCTTTGCAAAGTTTAAGGATTCTTTGTAAATGTAACATAAAGCTGGTCCTAAACCAAAGCTTGAAACATTCATTGCTCTGCTACGAAGTGAAACACTCCTATTCTGATTTGTTTTATGACCTGAAACTGCAAAGTTTAAAATCTGTAAATCAGGTTTTCCAGTTCATAAATAGTTTGGTTAAAAGCCTTATTTTTTTATCCAATAATGAATTACAGCCTTGAAGCTTCAAAGCCCTTGAACACAGGCTCAACTTTACTCCTGTCCATTGTCAGTTTCCCAAAAATTCCTGTAAATCTGTCACATCTGTAACTCCTGAAAGAAATGAAATTAGTCCGAAAGAAATGAAATTAGTCCGTTTTACTATAATTAAGGTGTTTTTTAAATATAGCTCTCGACCCATAGTTGGTGTTGATAATTAAAATAGATATTCTAAACCAGATATTCTAGGTTCATTATAATACTCACAGACTATTAATCTTCCTTTTTTCTCCTGAAGGATTTTATCAAGAAAAGCCTGACATCAAATGTTCAGCTTTTTATCCTTTTTAGAGTTCCAACATTTGTTAAATGCCAGTTTTCTACTCAGGGGAGTTCAGATTGTGCTAAAAATAGGACAAGATTATCCAACTTCAATTGAATGTAGAACCTGAAGATTTAAATAATTTGTTTTCCCTTTATTAGCGTGTTCGTTTGTCATCGCTTTTAGCTTGCCATAAAGAGATAACAGAAATAAAAAAAGAATCCACAGAGATGTTTCATGGCACAGAAAAATGAGAGGAGATGAAACAATTGCATTTTTGTGGTTTAGGATGCAATTAAACACGAAGCACGGTAAAGATAGGTAAAGCAATTAATTTAAAGTATAATTGAAGAAAATATATTCTTAATTAGCCCATGCTGATACACCAGAAGTCCTGCTTGGCAGTACAAGGTAAAATATTTGACAGGGAGAAAGAAATTCTGCTGCTGTTCTCCTTTTGCTCTGCAGTGCTGGGCTGTGATAGCAAAGACAAAATCCCTCAGGAATAAGTAGAATATGCCACAATTTTTTTTTTTTTTTTAGTGTTTTAAAAAATACTGGTATATTTGTGGGAGTTTTTTTTTTAATAATCAGCAAAATCAAACTGAAACTGTTATTTGTGTAGGTGGAAGAATATCTCTGTTTAAAGGTTTTATCTGATAGCCTGGCTCTGTCCTGTGCTTGGCATGTCTTCAAAACATCGACAGCAAAGTTACAAATGACTACTGAGTTTGATCACCTAGAGTTTAATTGTTAATTCTGTCTAATAATATCATTTTCTCGCTGCCCAGACAAATAGTTTGTCTTCTTTTACATACTAAAGCTTTTCCCAGTGATTTGGAATTACCTGTTGCTTGGGGGCATTCTTATTTTCGAATGGGAGCCAAAAAATGGACATTTTCAGAGATGCGCCAGTTGCTTCTCCAGGTCCAGCTGTCTCAGCAGAACAAAAGTGATTTTTGCTTGAATTCCCTTGGAGTTTTGAGGTGAAATAAGGGTTCATCCCTGCTGCAGGCATCAGTGGAGTGTCAGAGCCTGACCTGGAGACAGGAAAACTGCAGGTTACACTTTTGGGCTGGGATTTTCCCCCACTTTGCTTCACAACTTCCCCTCTTGTGCTCTGGGAAGTTCTTTTTGCTCTTTTCTTGCCCAACTGCTGAGCTCCCCAGAGGTGTTTCAGAGATTTCCAGCCCAGCTTTCCTAGTGGAAATGTCAGAGTAAAAGTGTAAAAAGGAAGATTTTGTGTGAATCCCTGTTCTGGAGGAGCTCCCAAGAGAGCACAGAATTCCCTGCAGGAGTCATGGCCCTGAACTTCTGCCTTCCCTTCACTCCATTCCCCTGGCCTGTAGGATTAAAAGCAGATTTTTGCTGGATTCTCTCTGAAGGAGATAACACATAAAAATACCTGTTTCAATGCATTATGCGTGGTTAGCCCACAAATAATTCACAAATCCTAACACAGCCTCTGGAAGTGCCACTTCTTCACCCAAAAGCAGCCCTGCAGATGATCTTCCTTCACATCAACCCCCAGGATGTCACGGAGGATTTTGTAAAATCTGAAAAAATGGTTTTTCCTCCCTTTTTGACCTACAGGGAAGGCCTGGGGTGTAATGAAGCAATTGTTTCCTGCAGGCTTAACTGGCTGGAAGAGCAGGGTCATCATAACCACCAAAAAAAAGATGAGAGGCCTCTCGCTGGGATGCTTCTGATGAAGTTACACACTTGTTCTCTCCTTGCCTCTGGGACCACGAGCACTGCAAGGAATATTTTAGGCTCAAACAACTGAAGCAAAATGCAGGCTGGTGCTTTTCCAAGTGACTGGCCATGGAGCTGACGGCTAACCTGCTTTAGGAAATCACTTACCTACAAGCATTTCGTCCTGGGGGAGCTCCAGATGAATCTTTCATGAAGATTGCACAGCAAGTTCCCAAGAATTCTTGATATTATCCCAAAATACAGATTCTTGTCACAGCCTCAAATCCTGCACTGTGAACTCCTTTAAAATTAACTTCCAACCTCTTGGCTTACAGGACAATACCTATTTTTGTTTTTTTCTTTAATCTCAGCAATGATGTGCTGCCTGCTTGCCTGTTCCTTGCTTTAGGAAGAAGTGACTCCTCTCCTCAGGAAGATCCAGGTTTCACAATAACTCTGCAGTAGTTCCAGGAGAAAATGAGGTTTTATTAGCAAGTCTTCCTTCAGGAGCACGGATGTGGCAATGGTGGTGGAATCAGATTTTTTGGGCAGTAAAAGTTGCCTGGCAGTGACTGAACCTTGAGAGGAATAAAGCTTTTTATTCAGGGTCCTTCAGGTGTCCTCAGGCAGAGCTGAACAAAGAGAGGCAGTGCTGGGCTTGGTCCTGTTTTTGGGAGGTGTCAAAGCATCAGAGCAGTGTCAGAGCTGCTGATACCTGACTTTCTTCCTCTGCACATGAAGAACTTTTATCCTGGCCAGGAGTCAGAGTGTTCCCAGCTGGAATTACCCCTGCTGAGCTGCCTGATCAGTTTTGAGCTGGTTGGTCAAATTGTTCTCTTTCAAAGACACTGAAAATGGTGCTTTTCTTCCTGCTCAACTCCTCCATCAGGAATTGGAAGAGAAAAAGAGCCTTCCTCCAGGAAATCACTGACGTCCCCATCATCACTGTCTTGGGGATGGACAAGCAGCAGGAATTTCTCACCCTGTGCCTTGGGAAGCTGTTCTGTGCATTTCTGCTTTATTGTGTTGTGTGGGAACCCTCCTATGCAGACTGCCTGACACAGTCCTGAAACAAGATTAGATAGACCATCATTTTTTTATTGGTAGAATTGAATCCAGGACCTTTAGGCTTGAAAATAGATTATATATTTAATCTACTTTCAAGTGGAGATAGGCAGCAGATGTTAAATATTCCACATGTATGGATCCATCAGTAATTCAAGCACTGCTGAACGTTGCATAAATATTCAGGTGTGCAAAGTTCTCATTGTGTGAAGCCCTGAGGTTTCATTGCCTTGGCACATGTGGGACAAACACTCCCAGTGACAATGTGGGATGAAGCAAGGGCTGTCTTGAACTCCAGTGTTGTAACATGGTCTTGGGATTAATGAATTAATTCCCAGTGAAATTGTACATCCATGTGACACAAAGATCATCCTGTCTTTTGCAGCTGACCTTGACAAAGAGGGTGCAAAAAATAAATTATCCCCAAGTCACTGAAAGGTGTGGGGAAAAAAAATAATATTCAGAGGGTGTCAGCAAATATTGGTTGAATTCCAGTATTTGTTAGTAGTTAAAACCTCAATGAATACATCGTAGGAAGCTCTTCTGTAAGAAGTTAACCCCAAATATGGATATATAAATCATGAATAGATTAATAATCATTATCATACAAGCCTGGTGCTGTACATGGTCCTGTTGAGGTCTTTCCACTGCATTGCAGAACTAGGATTGAAAGGAAATTTCCATGCTAGGAAATGAAGAATATTTTAAAATGGAATTAGTGCCAGCCCTGGTCCAGAGCTGGTGCTGTGGCAGAGGAAAGGTTCAGCTCCCAGCTGTGCCCATGGGCAAATTATTAATTCCCTGGCCTGAATTAATTCCATTGTAGTGGGAAGTTCACTGAGAATTAATTTGACCTTCTGTCCTTCCTACACTCAGGTATTAAATAATGTTTTCCTACATCGACAGAGACTTATTTTCTCCCTGTTGTTTACATATGAGGGTGGTAAGAGATTTTCCTGAATTACTGACTTAAGATAAGCAAATTGACTCTGGAAAATTCTTCGCCCATAGCTAAGAGTTTGCAGCCAAGTTTCATCCTGCTCTTTCATCTGTTTTTTCCATAGGCCATGTCCAGTATTTTTCTTTTCTTGGAGAAATAGCATAGGCTGAGATGATAAACTTTCTAGTAAATTAAATAAATACAAAGAAAATTCACAAATTACCTATAAGATAGCATTGAACTGATGTGTGAAACAGCACTAAAGGAATAAAAATAAATTACTGTTGTCTTTCATGCATTGATGTTTATTTGCCAAGTGAGCTTTCTCCTTCTTGTGAAAGCTGTAATGGATGTTTTAAATATCTGTGCAGTTTTAACTGTATTTTGGGTAATTCTGAGAGATGACTGGTATTATTGCTTCAAATTTTGGCTTAAAATAATAGTGATTTTTATGGACTTTATTCTACTGGTTTGAATTACCCAAATTCTGTGCCAAGACTTCTGCTTTCAAAAACAATCTCATATATCCATGTTTTCATCCAGTTAAGTGCTGCCTTGCATTAGAAAGCAATTTAGATGGTATTTAGCACTAAGGCTGACATACCATTATTTTTTTTTTTAGGACTTAAAGGATTCTCTTCAGCATTAATTTGATGATTTAGCCACATCACTTATTTAATTTCAGTGTTGCCATTAATGTCTTTCTCTTACATTTGCCTCAATTGCAAAATGATGTCCTTTAATCATTTGTGATTTTAATACTGGTTTCACTAGTCCAGCTTTAGTGATCTGTACTCTCCGTTTTCTTCTGGTTTAGTGCTCATAATAAAAATGTGCAAGGGGAATAATAAGTGATTTGTGTCATCAGGGGGGATTGAAGCAGGGCCAGGGGGAGGCTCTGTTGGTGCAGGAGATGGATGAGGTCTGTGCCCATTAATTAACCCTTTGGTTAATTTGGTTCTGATCTGGAGCAGTGGCTCGTGAGGGTCTTTGTTGTGTGTTCTGCCTGCAGCAAAGCCTCACTGGGTCCAGACCATAAAGGATGTGGAGGTTGCTGTGGAGGACACCTTGTACTGGGACTGCAGAGCAAGTGGGAAGCCCAAACCATCCTACAGGTGGCTGAAGAATGGGGAGCAGCTGGCAATAGAGGTAACAATCTCTTGGGAAGAAGTGGTGCTGTGTAAAATTAACAATATCCCTGCAAATAAGAGAACCCAGAGTTTCCTGGTATTGGTCAAGGGAAGTCTTTGATCCAGGGTTTGTATTTTTTGATGAGAGCATCCCGATGAAACCTCTATAGCTGCAAAGACAAATAAATTATGTTGTGCAGAAATATTCCAGCTAAAAGCAGATTCAAAAACAATAGAACCACAGAAAGAAAGATGTAAGGAATGACTGGAGAAGGAAATTTAATAATGTTGTAAATAAAGAACTATAAATAAGGGATGGAGAGCTTGAAGATGGAGAGCTTGAATTATTTTACTATATTTGTGCTGGCGTTTCATTAAAGGCAGTAAGAAAATATTTTTCCAACTTCTTGACAAAACTCCTGAAGATTTAAGGGTTTACCACTACTTGTTGCAAAGAATGGAATACAAGCAGCAACATAACCTAGATATTTGCTTTAATGCAGTTGTCATCATAAATTAATTGAAAGTAATACATTTGTTAACAGGGAAGAGAGGTTGAACTTAGAAGGGGAAAGGTCAGAAATGCAGAACAGGACCTGATACCCCTTATTTATTGATTTTAAATCTCACTGCTTCATTGGAAAACAGCCCCTCTCAGGTTGTCAGGAGTATGAACTCCAGGCACTTCTGCCCTTGGCCAGTGCCTTATGCTCAGCACTGACTTTTGGGGAGAGAGGACCTGCTCAGGTGAATTCACTGGATGGTTCTGAGGAATGAGCAGAGCACTGGAAAGCATTTCTTACATCCGTGCTGGCTGATAGGAGTGGTGGTGTTTTGTGGGCAGGTTAGATGAGGGAGCACAGATCTCCTCTGGGTGATTTAAGAGCTTTGCTGCTGTGTCATACAGAGTCACTGAGGTAATGGGCTTTTTTTACCTCAGGAAGTACAAAAATACCTTGGAATCATTCAGTCTTCCCCTTCCTCCAGTTCAGAGTGTTGCTGTCCAGCCTTTTGGCTGTGGCTTCTTCTGGAAACAACAAGGGAGCTCTTTGAGAGCCAGCACTGGCAGCACCAGAGGAATTCTGTGTGTGCAGGAATCAGGTGTCCTCTGCTCCAGGACTGCAGCAATCCCTCCTGTCTCCTTCACAGACACCTCTGGGGTTGTTCCACTCAGCCCTCCCCTTCTCCATGGACAAAACTTCCCTAAAAGCAGCAGCTTGGGATGCCCCAGAGGAGATCAAGACATGGGTGCTCAGCTTTTTTCCCCTTTGGGATTTTTTTCTGTCTGTCTGGGTGAGCGCCTGTCCTGTCAGGGAAGGAGCTGAGCTGTCCTGGAGTCCCCCTGTCCCAAAAACAGCCCTTGGAAAATACTTCTGGGCAGGCCCTTTGGGGTTTTGTGCATTTCTGTGCCTCTGTTTTCCCCCAAAGGTTGTTCCCCAAAGCTGCTGCTCCTTCGGTTCTGGTTCTTTTTGTCACCATTCTGCCACTCAGATTAGTCACTTCTGCTGTAATTGAGCTTTCCAAGGATAAGCAAGGTGAGAAGTCCCAGATACTGGAATAGCTGTGCTGGCTCCAAGGCACTTTTTGTGTCTTTGGTGTAATGGCTGCTGGAATTTTTTCTGCAGTGTTCGAGCTCATTAGCAAGTGGCACATGTGAAATCTCTTAAATAGTGTGAAATGCCAGGGCCATCTGCACTGTTTGGATACTCTGAGGGGCTGGTAGGATTCTGTCAGTCTTGCTGGAGAAATAAAAGGGCATTTGAGATTGCCAGACCTTGGTGTAGCTGGGCAAATTTGAAGAATTACTTCATACACTGCATCAATCTCCATATCTGGTCACCACTGTTGTACCATGCTGCAGCTCTGTTACTTCTTTTAGAACTGTTCTCATGATTATGCTTTTGCATTTACGCTATTTGTTGTATTTATGCTGTCCTATTTCTATTCCTTACTTATTTTAAATTTTTCACAGGAAATATATCATCAATAAAGATATTTTTCTTAATATTCAGGGAAGGATCCAAATTGAAAATGGTGCACTTACAATATCAAATCTAAATCTGACAGATTCTGGCAGATACCAGTGCATAGCTGAAAATAAACATGGTGTCATCTCTTCGAGTGCAGAGCTCAGGGTTGTAGGTAAGATGTTCCTTTTTTCACTAAAACACAAACCTCATTATCTCTCTCCACACCCCCCCATAATTGCACCTCAGATTTAACTCACTCAGCTGCTGCCACTGAAATAAAACGTTTTTGTCACCCTGATGTCTTTATCTGCAGAGCTGAGGAGTTGAGTCATCAGCTGCCAGAGCATTTTCAGGCCAGTCATTCATTTAAAAGGGAGCAGGATAAATTATTCACGAGGGGAAGAGTGAGGATGGAGGTTTGGGATTGAAACCTCTGGTGTGATGTGCTGATTCTGGTTCCTGAGCTGCTCTCACCTCTGTGGGAGGCTCAGGGACACCATGGGGTTAAAAACCTCTGTGTGCAGCCCTCCAGGAGCAGGGACAGGGGTGACATTCACCCACCCAGCCTGGGGCTGGAGTAGTCACAGCTCTCTGTTTGAGTGTCTTGGGACTCACACCCCTGTGCCAATTCCCCCTCCAGCACATCCAAACTGAGCTGTAGCTGTTTTTTTGGGGACACAGGATATTTCCTTTGTGCTCTGGATGATCACACAAGGCTCAAACACTGAATTTCCTTTCCAAGTTCAGTGTTCCTGTAGGGAGAGCCTCCTCGGAACTGGATTCATGGAAACCTCACTCAGAACGAGCTGCCCTGTCAATTCCTGTCATCTGGCACCTGGAACTGGGAACCTTCCAGTTCCCTGGGGTTCAGTGAGCCTCTAATCAAACATTGATTAGATTGATCAGATAAATCTGCTCCCTTCAGCAGAGCATCCTCTTGGGCAGGAGCTGAACATGAAACTGGGTTTGTTGAGCTTTGGTGGTTCTGTTCTTGCCTTGTTGGGTGCTCACCTGCACAGCTGACACCTTTGGTGGCAGGATGAGGTACAAAAAAGGAGGAGAAAATGCATAATTGCCCAATAGAAGATCTGTCTGAACTAACTAATGGTGTTAATTATCTTTGGAATCTCAGAATGCTCATGTAAGTGCTAACTAGTAGTATCATTAATATCACTAAAAGTGCTTTATTTCACTGCTACTCCCCGTTCTGTTTTAGCTTCTGCTCCAGATTTTTCCAAGAGTCCAATGAAGAAACTGATCCAGGTTCAGAGAGGCAGCACAGTTGATTTTGAGTGCAAACCCAAAGCTTTCCCTAAGGCCAAACGTTCCTGGAAGAAGGGAGGTGAGCAGCTACAGGAAAATGAAAGGTACCACGTTACATTGGTTTATTTGTTTTAATCTTACAAGAAGCTTTTGTGTGTCCTTTTATGCAGTAGTGTCAGCTGTAGATCCAAACACTTGTAAAGTCTCTCTGAAGTCTGGCTGGCCTGGAGATTTTTGCTTGGGTTTTTTTTTTTGTTGTTTTTTTGAGAGTGCAAGTCTGCTGCTTTCTCTGAGGTCAAGGGTCACATTTGTTTTCAGTTTAATGTAGAATTGAGCATGATTTAGAGAAAAACAGGTACTGATAGAAAACTGTGAATTCAATGCCTGTACAAAAATACTAAAAGGCTTCAGCAAAATGCTCTGGAAATGTTGGCAAAGGAGCATTTGAGGTGTGTTACAGC